GTCTTGGGCTCCGGAAATATAGCGCAGTTCCGCTTCGAGCAGTGCTCTAAACACCGTTTCCATAGGGAGTGTCCGATACCCAGCTTCCGGTATTTGGGCACAACTGCATACTCGCCCACAAACGCCAAGTCTCGGGTAATGTTAAACCCCGAGCACACGCCTAGTATTTGACCTTTGATTGTGTCCGGGTAAATGTTGTGATATTTGAACAAGCATTAGTAAGCTATGTTTAGTTTAGATATTATTAAAGTTTTTTTTCTATTTTTGTAGGAAATTCTTGTTAAATGAATTCTTTCGAGAATTGGTTATTATATTGAATTCATGAGATATAAGATAAAGTTTCTAGAATTAGTTCCCAAATAGAAATAAAAACTGAACTTGAATAATTCATGTTTAGTATTTGTATTACAATGAATTTACTTTGATGTTATATTTAGGATCAATTTTATGTTATAATCATCTAATAATTTATCGCATTCATTATACTGTAGTAATACTAAAAATACTTCTAAACGTATTAAGATATAAAAACATAAATTAATAATTTTATAAATATAATTTCCTATTATTACATTTTATGTAAATAAAGTAGCAGTATTATTTACCAGTATCCGTATCCTCTGCTACGAACAGACAATTTGAATCAATTTTAAGCATGGTAATATTAGTGTGATTACCAACAGTAATTCCCAAAGAGGACAGTATATCCAGCACCTGGTCGTTATCATACAAAGCCATTTGTCTCACAATATAATCCGGACGCTTAATAAGTGACATATTTTTGTTGTTATTAATCCAATGCACAGAATATTCTTTACGCAAAATATTTGCTATATTTCTCAATAATTACTATTTAAAAAAGTAACTATTAAATCAACTTTTGTATTACAAAATATACAAACACAAACTCCAATATTAAATNTATTTAAAAAAGTAACTATTAAATCAACTTTTGTATTACAAAATATACAAACACAAACTCCAATATTAAATAAGATTTAAATAATAATCCGGAATATTATTGCATAGTATTAATACAGTAGGAAATATACAGAATCATGAATTTAATTGTGAGTTTGCGCCAGAATTTAGGCTATCCTTGAATTTTTTGGTTTTAATTATTCACTATTTTTGGCGAATAATAATTACTGTTAATTATTATTACTAGCAATAATTGCATTTATTTTTATGGTCATCGCATACGATTGATATTGCATTATACATTCAATTGTATATTCAATTTAATACCTGTACAAATTAATGTGTAAAACAAAAGCATAGATTAGTGATTTAAAAAAGTATCAAATCTGTTGTGAATTCAAAGAATTTATTGTTAAAATATTACTATAATTTATGAAAACCCTTGATTTTTGTGTATGATATACAGTATATGTAATCTTATTATTAACATTTTATGTAAATTTTTATTCATATTTGTATGAAATGTGTAAACAATAAATTATTTGTAGTTTTACGAAAAAATAAATTTTAAGTATTTTTACAATAGATTTAATTAATTAATGTAGTGTGTATTATCCATTAGTGTACTAGCACATCTGTGATGAACTTCATAAGCAAGTTATATGTGTCGGAAGTACTTATAAATAGTATATTTATTTTTTTGGCGCAGAATATCATATAAAATGATTGAATAATGATTTGTTTCAGACTCTCATTAACCTGAATAAGCCGTCTCTAATACCATTAATAATACTAATATCATAATTATTTGCATAAAATTTTGTCTCAAAAACATATTACATATTATGAATGTATAACAGATTCCACAGCAAATAACCCTGAAATCGCACAAAGAATTTATTAGCAAGTATAATCCAGAATTTGAAAATATTATATATTTTAATAAATGTATTGTCTTTTGAGAATTAAATATTTTAAATTATTTTAAATATTCACAGATTTGCGATTAAAATGCAAATAATTTCGTAATTGATATTAAAGGGAAAATGATTGAAATCCTGTTAATTAATTAATTTTTTATACTTCATTGTCAATGAGTTGTCTGTAAAAAATCAATTTTTATATTAACGACAACGAAATGACATTGACTTTGATGTCAGGTTTGATGTGAGGGTGTGTTTGGTTACTATTATTACTGTAATCCATGTATTTATAGTAATCATTAGTTTTTCATTAATTTATTTCAAAAATATTGATTTATGTTAGCATTACATTGACAGCGGTTTTACCCACAAACTACTGTTCCCTTTGTTCATGTTTTAGTAAGATTAAAAACATACACTAATTAACCTGATAAATACGGTACACCCTGTACATTTTAATTCATTTTGATTACAGTAATAATTTAAAATAAGTTCCTTACTACTATCTTACCTATGATATTGAGTAATACAATGTTATACTACGGAAATCATACTACCTGTGCCTTATAACCGGCTCAGTACTCTCAAGTCAATTAAACTCCTTATTGTTGTAGTGATGACCTAACCAAGGTCAATGACTTCTAACTTAAAAT